GCCTGGCACACCAGCAGGATCCACTCAATAAAGTTTCAGTGAAGAGACCCGGATGGGCTCTATAGCCCTGAACCCGATAAGATCACAACACCTAAAAGACTCGTGCTCGTATACTTCATACAGAGGGCGGTGCTGAGCCAGGCAGTGGCACTGGCGACACAGAGCGAGGCGCAGGACCACTCTACTTTAACGACTGTAAAACTTTGACTGCATGTGGTAGCACTCTCGTCTCCGAGGCAGAAGGTTGCGGGTTCAAGACCCACGTCGGGACTTGGAATCACATAGGCCAAGCTGTCACGTCAATCCGGTGCTGTGGGGGAAGGGGGTGTTGTGTTGTCGGGGGTGCCGTCCTTCAGATGAGACGTTAAACCCAGGTCCCATCAACCTGTTCAGGTGGACGTTAAAGATCCCTCGGCACGATAAAATTGGTCACTCACTCACTTACTCCACGGCTGTTTGTGGGACACTGCAGTGCGTAAACTGCTTGCTGCGTTTAGCCCACAAAATACACGGTCACTACGCTTTACAGTGTATCAGGCGAAGACGGCTCAATGACCTGAAAAAAGCCACTATATCAAATCCATTATGATTATGATTATTATTATTATAATTGAGCAACACGTTGCTCTCACGTCGCTGGCCCGCGAAAGCGCCCGCGAGGCCAACCGATTCCGAGAACGCTTGGGGCCAGAGTGCGGTTGCCCGCGCCCTGCCCGCCTTCACTGTCTGTGGCTTCGGTGACCTACAAAGGAATTCTGCCCGTTTCCAGGAAGGCCGTCTCCATTCCCACAAGCCCTGTGAGAGAACATCATAAAAGCTGAACTTTGGACTTGCTGGGCAGACAACACAATAGCGAGGAGGATGCCCCTACTCCCTGGAGATTCTCAGCTGCTGGAAAACATCGCAGCACTGAACTCCGGGTCACTTGTTGCTTAGGACCCGGCTCTGTTTTGTCGAGTCTTACACTCAGATGCAGGCCGAGGCGAAGGTTTCCCTCATATACAGGAAGGAAACGCTGGCAAGAGCCTGCGTTTCCTGTGCTTCTGAGTGTATTTCCAGACGGGCTCCTTAATCCATCACCCAACACAACAAACAATTAACACAAAGGAGGGAAAAGGCAACACATCTCGCATAAACACATAACATAGAACCAGAACACCACCACCACCGCCATCACCACAGGAGCAATAAGAACTTCAACTTGCATCTGTTGTCCTCCGCTTAACCCTTTCAGGCCTCAATCTGGCTCAATTTAGAGATGACCACTTCACCTCTAGTGCACTTTATAAGGTGTCCTGGGAGTACGGAGGGGGTGTATAAAGCCATTAAAAGTTTGCCGTTGGGCTGGCTTAGTTGGTAGCACTCTGGCCTCTGATCCCAGACTTCAAGAACCAAGTTAGGACTTTGAGCTCCACAGTCACGGCTGACATTCCAGTGCAGTGTTGGGGCTGGGTTACAGGATTCGAGGTGCCATCTCTTCGGATAAGACATTAAACTAAGGTTGTCATCTGTTTAGGCAGATGTTAAAGACGCCAGGGCACTATTCGAAAAGAGAAGGGAGTTTCTCCCTGTATCCAGGCTGACAATCCCACTGATAAAATTGGTCAATCACTTCAGGGCTGTTTGTTAGGCACTAATGTGTGCAAATTGACTACTGCATTCACCTACAAAATACAGAGTCACTACACATTATGTACGTACGTACGTACATACGGAAGAAAGAAAGAAAGAAAGAAAGAAAGAAAGAAAGAAAGAAAGAAAGAAAGAAAGAAAGAAAGAAAGAAAGAAAGAAAGAAAGAAAGAAAGAAAGAAAGAAAGAAAGAAAGAAAGAAAGAAAGAAAGAAAGAAAGAAAGAAAGAAAGAAAGAAAGAAAGAAAGAAAGAAAGAAAGAAAGAAAAAGTAAATACAGTAGATGTCTCACCGACATGATAAAGTGCATCAAATAAGAAGATTATTATTAAATTATTTTATGGCTCGAGATTTAAGAGCAGTTCCCTCCTGGGCAATGCAGGATTGTTCCAGCTTGACCTGGCCAGGCTGCGCTGTAAAAGCTCTAACAGCCAAGCAGATTCTGTCCCAGCTGACTGAAGCAGTGGAAAGCATGTAAGATGACACATACAGTGTGTGCAATGTCAGTCCTGAGCCAGGTAAAGTAAATGGCAGTTGAAAGAGGGCCCAGTAGGCGCCAAAGCTGGTTATCCAGGCAGGAGCGCTGCCCAGCCCTGGAACGAATGCGGGCAGGGATTCTTAAAGTGCTGTAACTGTATTTTGTTAGGAAACCCGGCAGCTAATAAAGCACATGGCAATGTCCCAAAAAGAGCCATGAAGTAATTGATCATTTTTACACTGAGAGGTCGAATACAAATCTACACTGGTCTTCTGGGATCTTGATGTTATTGCACTACAGAAGTCAATAGGAAGTTTACATAATAACTAGAAAAAGAGTTCAAGGGTTATAAGAGGTTAGTTAGAAGGAGCACCACTATCCCTGGTGGCTTCTGCCCAGGTAATAAGTATGAGCTGCAATGTCCCGCATAGTTGTGGGAACCGTTGTGAAGTGAATTATTCTTTGGGAATTGTTGGCCAGCACACCAGGAGAAATTCCCTTCATTTTTCGAATAGCAGAGTGGATCTTTAGTTTAAGGTATCATCTGAAGAACGCACCTCTGATAATGAAGCCCGGCTCCAGCAGTGCGTTGGAGTGTCAACCTACTGAACAACTATACGAGTTCAAAGTCCTGACATGGGTCTCAACAATACAAGGAAATACATGGTTTAATCACTGTAATCTAAATGTTTGCTTTCTTTGGGAATCACCGCCTTCATCCTATCTACACAAGAAGCGACTGCCCTGTGCATTCATTGTACCAAAGCGATGCTTCCTTTCAGTGTCAGAAAAGTGAGGTTGCAGATAAAACTATTGACACCAGGACTTCCTGAGGCAAGTGAAATGGTCGGTCAGAAAGGAAGGATGGGGCTGGAGGACTAGCCTCCTTATCAGACAAGATAAGATGGCTTTATCCCCAGCATATGATTCACTAATAATATTCCTTGCATTTGATGTAGAGTAATTTAGGCAGCTCAAAGCGCAGTGAATATGTATTTGTAGAAAAACACAGCAGCAATTTAACCCACAGCAAAGTTCCACAAACAGCCACAAACATAAATGACTGATTTTATCTCGAGGATTAGTGGCTAAAACAGTTAGAGAGACTACCTTCGCTCTTCCAAACAAATCTTTAATGTCCACCTCAACAGGCAAACAGGACTTTGGTTTAACTTTGGGAGAATTTGTTTGTATGTAGAGATGACAACTTAATACAGTCCCCTCCCTCATAAGATGAACGCCTCAAAATTCTTCACAACTACGGAGACCACCGAACATTGAGAGGAGTGGGGGGGGGTGGTGGGTGGGAAGGCATCAAACAAAGGTATGGTCAAAGACGTTTTATGAAGGTTTTGAAGGTAAGACTAATCCTTATAATCCTTGCATTTGATATAGTGACTTATCACATTGTTAAGCTGTCTCAAAGTGCTTGAAAGGATTTACAGTGAAATGTTGTGACTGCGTATTTTAATAATAATAATTCTTACAATTGATATAGCGCCTTATCACGTCTTCAAGACGTCACAAAGCGCTTCACGGAATATAATTTCGAAGCCACGAGAGTGAAACAAAAGGGATTTGGAGAAACTAGAGCGTTGTGACAAAGCTGTGCTTTCTGATGGAAAGCGCGCTGTCCAAACATTCCTCACTGACGGAGAACATTTTCCAAGGACCATCAAACACAAACTTTACAGTCAGTATTCAGCGACTTCTGAAAAGAAAGGCGCAGGCACCCTCTAGTGGGCAGAGTTTTCATTTCCCTGCAGCAGGATTTTCCAAAGTAAACTTTTCCACGTTCATCATACAATGCAATACAAATCACATTCACACCACGCTTTTCACATCGGGAGGACATCCCAAGGCGCTGGACAGTCAGGGACTTGGACCCAAGCTGGTGGAGGGTGGAGAGCAGGGAGGGTAGGAGGATGGCTGAAGGCTCGGTTGATGAGAAGGGTTTTGAGACTCACCTTGAAGTAGGCAAGGGAGGGAACGAGGCAAAGGGAATGTGGGATGGAGTTTCATAGGGTGGGGGCAAGAAGGCTGAAGGCCCAGTCGGCTGCCTCACACAGTTGCCAGAGAACTTCAAGCCTCGTGTAAAATCAGTCGGATCATTTCATGCAATGCCTGTTACAGCGGAGATTAAACGGCATAAATTCAGGACAGATTGCGAACACAACGGAGATCCCAAGGAGAAAATTACCTTTCACATGAAATACCGCTATAGAGCTCAGACAGAGGGGAACACCGCTTTGATCAACGTAACCACACCCAATAACATAAGTGCATCTGAAGAATGGCAGTTACCAGGAGAGAGAGAAAGAGAGAAAGGCACGAGCTAACGCTTACAAGGAGGGAGAGCGAGAGAGAGGCACGGAGTAACAGCTTGTGGAGTCCTGTAATGCAATGTTTGCACCTCACCTCAAAAGCAAGAGGACCTAGGTTCGATTCGTGGACAGGGCGAAACCTTAAGCAAGTTTCCTTACTCCACATGCCTTTGTTTATCTGGCAGTAAGTAGGAACTCTGTTATCAGTCACTTGGTTGATGGCTTTCCAGGGGTAATAATCCCTCAAAAATAATTGTCACTCAATCCACGACTATTTGTGGGACACTGTGCTTTGAGATGTCTCTACGAGGCGATAAGGCACTATATCAAATGCAAGTATTATTTGTATAATAATAGTTACCAGGAGCACGATGGGCACTGGGAACCAGGAGAGTTGTACACAAGGGGCAACGGATCCTGGGAGAGATGTACAACATGAGAAAAACTGTTTTTCTGTTGTAGGGGAGAAAAGAGTGCAGGTTTTACCTGAACAGGTGCCTTCCCCACACTATGGCAGCTGCAGGATACAGAGCAACACTGGAACAATGGTCCAGGGTCTGGTCACTCACCTGTGGAGCTGGAGCTCATGATGGACAACCTCAAATCCAGGAGTGGGCAGGACGCACGTTAGACTCCTACAATAAAACAGCAGAAAATGGTTATTAAACTCTCACTGTAAAATCGGCCGTCCGTCACTTTGTTTTGTTGCACGGTTAGACTCCGGCAGTTACCCCAAATGCACACTTTGGAGCCCCCAAATCTTGGCTCTTGCCAACCTGTATCTTAATAGTTTCTGCAATTAGATAAGCAGGATGCATCCCTCCAGGGAGAGAGTGCGCATACCTTTCGAACAATCTATCTCTGGAATTTCCATGTGTAGGTGGGATGCATGGAATTCTGAGTTTGGTTTGGATACTCTCACTACTCTCATACTCTCAGCTCGGGTGCAAATCCTTGACTGCCCAGCACTTTGGGACGTCCTCCCGACGTGAAAGGCAATGTAATTTGTTGCGGAGACATCTCAACGACGTGACAAGGCCCTACATCAAACGCAAGCATTATTTTTAGTATTCTCATTCTGATGGCACGGTCAGTTCCAAACATCTCCAATCATTTTGCAGAGTTGGATAAACTCTGTTGTTGTCTACGATATAAAAACGATATAAAAACGAACATACGCAATTAGCTACAGAGGCCAACCCTTGCATTCCACCTTGCCAAACTCTGAGCTGGTCACAGAAGAATGCAGTCAAAGTCACTGTTCCAAACACTTCCTAGAACAGGCCTGGCTCGGCCTGTAGGGGCTTCTCTTCAGGTCACGCTGCTGTACCAGCTGCTTCTATTAGCGGTTGTTAACCCCGAGGGACCAGAGGGAAGAAAGCAGTAACAAACCATACCTCCTTTGATTATATTAATCCCTCCATTTGATACAGCTTTTATAGCGTTCAAAAGTCAAAGCGCTTCACAGGGAATTGCTATGAAGTTTCGTGACTGTGCAATTTGCAGACTGAACGTCCCACGAACAGCCATGAACTGAATGGCTTAACAAAGCGTTCTGGCTGATTGTTGGCCAGAACGTCAAGAGAAAACTCCCTTTCCTTTTTGTATTGAGTCATGCAATCTTTAACGTCCATCTGGGTGGGCAGGCAGTCTGGACCTCATCTGAAGGACAGCACATCCAATCATCTCTCAGTAGTGCACTGGAGCATCAACCTAGACTGTGAACTCAAAGTCCCAACGTGGGGCTTGAACCCACAACCTTCTGACCCAGTGGTGAAAGTGCTACCAACTGATGCAAGCTGACACCTCATCAAGGTATCAAAACTAACTGGCTGACCTCCAACCCAATGCTTTTTAAATAAAGCATTACCCAGATATTTTCTAGGGTATAAATAGCCACAGGGCGACCCCATTGTGATGGGACTGTTTATTGTCAATAAAGTTAGATGTTATAAGAGATCTATAGAAGAAGAGGGAGGGAGGGAGGGAGGGAGACTGACCAGCCAACAACTAATGTCACTTTCAGCAGTGCACCATATTTCATATAATCTCAGATCTACAAAAAGCTCTGTTATAATGGAGTTTCTCCTGAGCAACAATCCCCCAAATACAATTGTCCATTCACTTTATGGTCATCTGTAGGATGCTACAAACTGTAAACAAACTGACTGTTGCACTTGCCTCCAAACTGCACATTCACTGCACTTTACAGTAATTCCTGTGAAGCGATTTGAGACACCCTCCTGATGTGACAGGAGCTATAAAAAAATGATAATAATCCTTGCATTTAATATAGCGCCTTATCACGTCTTCGAGACATCTCAAAGCGCTTCACAGAATATACTGTAAAGGGAATTGACTAAGTGTTTTGTGGGAGAAATTAAAAAAAGGATTTTTATTGCAAGGATTATTATCTTTATAAGCAAACTCGCATTCTGTCTATCTAGCGAGGAACCTTATAAAAGGGTCATCCCCACGCTGCTTCACACCAACAGATTCAGGTCCTTTTGCCGTGTAGCTTACTACAGAGAAAGTTATTGCCCTGAACATGTTCCAGGCACTCTCGGCAGCAAGCCCAACCACAGTCGCATGTCGCCCGCGTGGGAGAGATCGTCCAGCTTGTCCCAAAAGTGTTGTTTGTGGGAAGGTTTTGATTCCAGCGTTAAGCGAGCAATCTGCACAATGCTGACTTGAGTCAGGGTGCCAGCAGCTGCCAAAGGTGAAATTCATGGGAAACTGCAAACAGAAACATTTTCAACTGGGAGATTTAATGGAGATAGATTTTATGGTCATGACTGTACATAAAGAGATGCACTGCACGTTAATAGCACCCTGCACAGAAAATTTGGCTCAACTAGTCTGTGCCCGTGTTTACACATCGCACAAGACCTTCACCCCTCCTATTCCCCTTCTCCTATTCCCCAAGTTTCCCTTCTCCCTCGTGTATGTATCAACCTTCCTCTTAATCACATTGGTACTATTTGCTTTAACCACAACTTCTGGCAACAAGTTCCACATTCTCGTCACTCATTATGTGTGAAGAAGGTCTTCCTAAACTCCCAATTAGATTGGCTACTAGCCACTGTTTTATATTCATGTCCTACACTTTTGGAGAGGGAATCAAGCACCATTTGAAAGGCAGATGGGAACTTTAGAGACCTGTAACATATTGGTTAGAGCATTCGCCTCACAAGCGAGAGGACCCGGGTTCAATTCCCGGGCAGGGCACAATTGGCTGCCACGTTTCACCAAAAACATATAGTCAATTCACTTTACAGTATATTCTGTGAAGCGCTTTGAGACATCTCAATGACCTGATGAAGCGCAATTGCAATATCCCCCAATATCTTGTAATAGAATTAGCCTTAAGAGGCATAACTATTCTCTTTTTGAATAGCGCTGTGGGATCTTAAACGTCCACCTGAACAGGCAAACAGGGCCTCAGTTTAACAACTCATCCTCAGGACAGCACTTCCAATATTGCAAAACACCCCCAGCACCGTGTTGGAATGTCAGCCTAGAATGTGAGCTCAAAGTCCTGCTGTGGGGCTTGAACCCACAACCTTCTGACTTGAAGGTGAGAATGCTACCAACTGAGTCTACATAAGAAAACCAGGGAGATGCACCAGGGAGGAGAGACTGTGGAGAAGGCTGAATTTGCCTAAGTTGTCCAAAGAGGCGGAGAAATTGTGGAAGACAAGGAGGCACAAGCAGCCCTGGTCGCAGACAGAGAGGATGTTGTTAGTGACATTGTCAGGACTGTTTCAGAGCTGTGGCAAGTGCAAGGCGGAAGCCAGAATGAAAAGACTCATACGGGGAGTGGTGAGAAAGGAAGAAGCAAAGCTGGGAAGCCAAAGAAGCATTCCAATGTGTCTTGGAGAGGAAGCACTTATATCACTGCACAAATTGTTTCACCGCTAAATAAATGTGCGTGCGAACGCAGTGCAGTCTCCTCTGTCAAGAAGATAAACCATTTATTCTGAGGAATCCCAGGTCAGACTCCATCCCACATACACACACACCGTCCAGCATTAGTCACTGGTTCACTAGCAGGAGTTGGAGGACACACGTAGGGGCAAGGATTCTCAACTCCTGTTAACTCTGTAAGCCAAAGCCCTAAGGGTGGTCTAGCAGTGGGAAGCTTGCCAGCCAGTGCTCTCAATGGCAAGCAGTGTGGTTTTAGCTGGTTAAACTCCAGCAGTTATTGCGACACACACCCTGGGGTCCCCAAGCCTTGGTTCTTGCATCTAATACTCCCATTAAGTAATCAGGACGCATCTCGGGGAAGAAGAAGGCATTCCAAACATGAAAATTTCCACACATAGGTGGCATACATGGTTTGGTTCGGATACGTTTAAGTATGGCAATGGGTTTCCACATAGACCAGACACCCGACTGGCCCAAAAAATAGCAAATGCTGTACTCAGTTGCTAGTCCTGCTGAGATCAGCTGGAACAATGCGGTGCAGGATTCAAACTTGTGACTTTATCTAAGGCTCCGTCCGCTCCTCAATGAAGGAGGAGTTGAAAAAACAATCCCATTGCAAATGAACTTCAACATCCTCACATTTCACTGTCAATACACACAAGATGTCTGATCAGCATCCAAGCCAGTAATAAATCACTACATCATTGTTGTCCCATTTTATTTTGTACACAAAGTAAATGCTTCAGTCAATGACAATTGTGGAAAAAAAAGAACTGGCATCAATTTGTGTCTTTTTCTTTATAAAACACCAAACCAAAGCAAACATGGGATTTGTTGGTCAGCAAAGCAAAAGCATAACACAAAGAGTCGAGGGTACAATAGATTTATCGGTTTCTTATTGATGAAACGAAAATTAGCTTGAATTGGGAACCTAAAGAAGAGGCCCAGAACCAAGTCTGAGAATGAAAGCTTTCCAGAGTCAAGTGAGAGGGGAGGGCCCTGGAACAAAAGCATCCTTATCAAAAGCATCCTTATAGTGGAATTCACTAGTGGTGCCAAGAAAAAGCTTGGACAGGCTTTCACATACAGCACAGATGAAAAGAAATACAGCACTCAGGGAATACACAGATATTCAGCAGCACATTTTGTTAGCAATGAGGGATTCGTGCCTTTTAGTACATTACAGCAACCTCACAGTAAAAAAACCTTTTCACTCTGATTAATCCTGGAAGTCTTCAAAGACTTCTTAAGCTTGCAGATACATTTTTTTTATTAAACTTTGTGCCTCACCTGCAGAAAGCCTTTCCTGTACTTTATTTTCTCTCCTATAGGCACCGTTTCTCACTCACAGACAGCAATCAGGAACATGACCCTGGCTAAATATTCCCCTCACTAACTAGTCCAGGAGCTCCACTCAACTGAGACTAGTCAGCTCAGCACAAACTCTGGGCTGGCTGTATGACTCAGTTTGCAACTGGAGAAAATCTTTGGTCATGCAAGTCATTTAGTCGGTCTCATTTATGTCCATCACATCTTCTACCAGGGGGTCAACGGACACCCTTTGTTTTGTGAAAGTTTCACAAGACGTAATCTTTTGCTGAACTCTAGAGTGTGAACCTTCACAGGTTGTGTAGCCAGTCGGCTTATTCCTACCCAGGGGTATGAAATGGATGATCTTGCCCTTAGCTGATGTCCCAATATAGGCTTC